AGCCTGTTGGATCAAGTCACTTTGAGCGGTCAGTTGTGTGTTAGTCTTGTCACCCGGCATGGCCGCCTCGTTGGTTTTTTTCAGTGGATTCGGAAGTCATTTATTTTTCGTTTTTGTCCATGATATATTTGTCCAGCGTTTCATCTGATTTACTTTTTTTTGTTTTTGAGAAAGACAGCTTTCGACCACTCCTTAAATTAGATGCCATCGTTGGCCATAACTTGTAGATGTGAGTGGATTTGAGAGAGCGATGTGTTGCAAGTCTCGCCTGTTCGTCGCCATAACCGGAAACTTTGTCTTTGTTGGATAAGGTTAACCAGATTGTTACGTGTGCAACCAACAAAATTAATGGAATGAACCAGGCTTAATAAATACAAATTACTGGAAAACAATTACAATTGCGGTACAAAATTCAATCACAGTACAAAACAGCACAGTATAAAATATAATGGCAGTTGTGTTAACATTCACCAAGCAGCAACAGTGGTCAAGCTTCCAAAATAGGATAAGGCTTGATATACAGGGTGAAAACATTAATAATATTTACGCATGTGGTCTTAGTGTAACGTGATATGTCATAGGCATGCGCTTGTCCAACTTAAAAAGAACAAACTCATTCTAGAAAATTACATCATATGCTAGACCAGTTAAGCTGTTCCAGATGATTAAAAACAAAGCAAGATTGAGTCTTTACAAGGATTACTCCTTCATTAGATGTATGAATGCTATGAGGCAGAGAACATATACTCAACAACAAAAGTTCCTGTGACACCAATATCTTAGTGTATTTTATCAAACAAGTAAAGTTTGGTTTTCAATATTGTAGTACATGTAAGGAATCAAGTCACAAAAACGCAACTGCTACAGAAAAGCATGCATTCCATGCAAAAGTTGACTTTTAATGCAAGCCCAATGCATTTCACTACCAAAACAAATGGGTATACACGTGCGTTAACGGGATTCCATATGTATTGTTAAGCATCGTGCTGACAACTACTCAGAAAAACAACAAAATTACGCAATTTATCAACATTACGAATTGCCACGCCTGTCCGAAAATGAGCGTCTGCGAGCCATTGGTATGCTTGAAGCAGGATCGAGTCAACGTGAAGACAATTTAACGTCCACAGAAACACCATTTGGTGTTCATGGCAACGTTGGCAACAGACGAATGCAGTCAGAGGCCATACTCGGAGTGGCAGGCCACGCGTAACCAATAATCGATAAGACAACTGGATTCGAACAACACACCTACGAAATCGATTCCAGCAAGCAACAGTGACTGCAAGAAGCATCCCTGGCCTTCGACGAATATTTTCACAAACCGTACGTCGTTGCCTCAGATGTGCAGGGATTGTCGCCAGAAGACCCGCCAGACGTCCAATTTTAACAGGAAACCACCGTGGTCAAGCACGTCTACAGTGGTGCAGACAGCGTCTACGCTGGACGGCCATGCAATGGGGACACGTTCTATTCACTGACGAGTCTCGTTTTCACCTCAGCCACTGCGATGGGCGGATTCGAGTGTACCGCCGTCGAGGTGAACGTTACATCAATCATTGTGTCATGGAAGAAGAACGGTTCGGGGGCGGCAGCGTTATGGTATGGGGTTGGACTACAGCAAGACAGAGGACCCATTTGATAGTAGTAGAGGGAAATCTCAATGGACAGCGCTACCGCGATTAGATCAGCCCTGTTGTACTACCGTTTTTTCGTCGTCATGGCCCAGGCATTACCTTTCAACATGACGCTTGGCCTCATATTGCTGGACTTGTTCAGGGTTCTCTTCAACAAAACAACGTGAATGTCATCCCCTGGCCGGCTCGCTCCCCTGATCTCTCACTTATCGAGCACATGTGGGATGAGATGGATCGGCGCCTTCGACGTCAACCACGTGTTCCACAGACACTCCAGGAACTTCGAAACATGCTCCAGCAGATATGGACAGATATCCCACAGGACTGGTCCATTCCATGAGACGAAGATGTGTTGCTTTCATCGCAACCAGAGGTGGATATGCACGCTATTGATTTGTAAATTGACATTTTGGCATGTTGATGTTGTTGTTTATATGAAATCACGCATTTTCTGAAGTCAGTATGGCAAATTAAACCATTTGAACACTTACAGGAGTCTTTTATCTGTTGCAAACCGAAATTGTTTCAGATTTGGTAAAAAACATAACTTTGCATTAAATCTTATTCAATGTCACAAGAACTTTTGTTGTTCAGTATATTTGCATCACATCTCTCTTAGTCCGTAACAGTAGGTCTGTTTATGTTCGTGATGTATCTTCACCATAGGTCAAATTATTGCTGTGAAACCAGATATTGGTTCAGTTAGTCAACTTGTGACGAAGTCACTCAGTATAGATTGTCTGACGGCTAACTCGTGGTATGACTGGATTGTGTGTCAGTTCTAAGTAAGGAAAGTTAGTATTCTGGAGGGACAATATTAAACATTTCAAGTCAAGATCGTTGTGTTTAGACAGTTCCCCTACCAGGTTTGTTTATAGCGATGCAAGTGGTGTAGGTTACGGTGTCTACTGTGTTCAGTTTGGTGGAAGGTTGGCACATGGTGTCTATGGTACTGACAAGTCTTTTCTTGGTTCTCACTCAGTCAAGTGGTTTACGGATAATACCAATGTATGTGCTATTATTAAGGGAAGACACACCTACAAAATTTTGCGTTAATTATCTGGGAATTGTGTTTGAGCTGCTGTATATGTTTGGAAGTAGACTGGATTCCCCGAGAACAAAATGATCAAGCAGATTATCTGAGCAAGCTTACTGATAGAGATGACTGGGCGGTTGCAGACTATGTTTTTCATGTACTTGATGAAACATGAGGACCACATTCAATAGATCGTTTTGCTTCTTACTACAACAAGAAGACCAATCGTTTTGATTCTAGGTACAAGAACCCTAATTCTGAGAATGTGTAATTTTACTTCAGATTTGAGTAATGAGGTGAACTGGATAATACCACCAGTGTATCTGGTCTCTCGTGTGTTGTGCTAAATGCGCGAATACAGAGCAAAGGGTACGTTGGTTGTACCTCAGTGGTACTCGGCGAGTTTCTGTCCTTTGCTATGCAAACAAGGTACATTTCTCAAAGAAGTAAAAGACTTTGTTTATTTGCCGTCTTGCAAAGAAGCTTATGTTCCCAGTCGTATTTGGAGAGCTGTATTTGTTTTCTTCGATCAGTTGAATTATTGCATATTGCACGTTCAGATATCATGTTTTGTGAACATTATATGTCTATACTTATTGAACAGTCCAAGACGGAGATGGTGCATGGGTAGTCATAGGTGTATCCGATTCACTGCTATGTCCTGTTATGCACTTGTAACGTTATTTAACGATGGCAGAGATTGCCGAGGATTCTCATGAAATATGTGTTCAGAGCACGAAGTACTGTTAATGGCAAATATGTTCTGAGGAAAGAAAACAAGCCACTGACTTTTACAAGACTCCGTGAAATATTTCGTATAACTTTGTCACCTTTTGTTGGTGATGTGTCAAGATATGGCCTGCACAGTTTTGAGGTCAGGTGGTACTTCAGCGGCAGCAAACAATGTTCATTGGGTTTGTAATAGGTTGTTTTCCTGAAATCCCTTTCTCTGTTTCTCATGCAGAGTAAATGCCTCTGCGAGTGCCACAGGGGAAGCCACATTGTGTGTTTGTTGTTTATATCTGGCTTGACAGGTTTTGGAAGAGAAATGAAATTTCATCGGTTGAATAGAGTGAATTAGACTGAAATTGATTTCTCTTGAAGGTAAAGCCAGATATAAAGAGAGATTATTCAAGGTATAGGGCGCAACCGTGAGGGGTATATATAGGAATTGTAAAGCCCGGTTAGTTTATCTCTCCTGTGATGTCGCCGTTACAGTGCGGTATGTTAATTTTATGTTTATTATGTCCCGTGCATTATGGTTGTGATCATTTTCTGTTGGCAGGTGTTGGGAGGCTTGCTGCAAGACAAATGTCGTCACAGTGACGAGTATGATTCTGAACCACAAAGCATGGATGGTACCTGGTACATGCATGTATCTTACAGTAAGATGTTACACTGTCGGTGACTGGCGTGGCTATGAAATTATATGGATCAAGGCTAGTGACGCTACTGAGTTTGTAAAAGGAAATTTCAATGCAGAGTAAATGCCTCGGCAAGTGCCACAGGGGAAGCCACATTGTGTTTGTTGTTTATATCTGGCTTGACGAGGTGTTGGAAGAGAACTATCACTGGAATGTTCCCGAGAGCGGCATTAAACAAAACATATATAAGTGTACCCTCGATATATAGTGTATGTCGATCCCAAGACGCCCAGAAACGACATGTTCTATAAATGTCTACAGCGTAGCTTTATATTTTGGCATTCGGAATTCCCGATTATATTTGTGCTCGAGATGACGTAATAAAACTCTGACTGACTGTGTTCCTGAAGCGTCCTCAGATCTGCAGGCAATGAGGTATTGAAAACTTTCCTTTTGGGGTTAATTAATGAAAACAGATACAGATACATATATCGTGGGAAAGTTTCAAATTCTACCATGTACAGCGATCAAATGTCAAATACCGATACAACAGCTAAAGAATTATTTGAAATGATTACATATTTGAAACATAACAGCGAGCGAGCGAGTATGGTTTTACGCCGCTTTTAGCAATATTCCAGCAATATCACGGCGGGGGACACCAGAAATGGGCTTCACACATTGTACCCATGTCGGGAATCGAACCCGGGTCTTCGGCGTGACGTTGAAACATAACAAGGCATAAGCGTCGTTATCGGAAATGAGTTTTTATCATGTGAAGTTCCTATATAAATATGTTGGCCTCTTCAATAAAGTCTTCACATCAGGTATCTCACAACAAGCATGACTCATGTCTTTATTTTAGCCAATATAAACAGCATGACAATTCACTTGATACAAATTCACGGAAGCCGATAACTATCATTAACTGTCCTTAGAAGCATACGGAATATACACGTCGCACACAGTTCGTTGAAACTAAAAATATCATTTTCAGTGAAAATCGTATCAATGTGAGACAACATAGTTAATGTGTATAAATATGTAAAATTTAAAACATTGCGTCGTGTATTAATATATTTGGCAAAGGCACTAGACACCGAATGGTGTGTAGGACAGGTGAGACAAACTTAATTAAATTAGAAAATAAAATATCGTTTTCAGTGAGAAAACAATGGACAACATATTTGTTGTTCATATGCAAATTTTAAAAGTTGGATATTACGTTGAAGCAGGATCACACAGAGTGGTAATACAGGGGGCGCATAACCGCCATGTACCCCGAGTGATCCTGCAACACCGACATGTTTTAATATGACATCGTAAAACAATTCAAACAAATTAAAAAACTGAAAGAAAACAGCTGTTCGGTTGAGGTGAGGTTAACATGCACTATGTCACATGACCTACACTGACTCGGGGGAAAAAGTGGGGCTTTTTGCTTTGAAGCGGGGAAAAGGGGTTTATATTTATTAAAGGAATTGCTCGTAGTGGGGTATAAGGGATTTATTCGGCCGCTGAACAAATTATTTCCTTCCAAGGCGGGATACATCGTCTTTCATTAAGATCACGTCGACCAACCAGATCTCGTCATTCTGACATGGAGGTATGATAACAAAAGCTTTAGTGTGCATTATTAGACTTAGATTATTAGACACATATTTGCAAGTTGGCAGATGTTAATGTTTGACAATCTGATATACCTAGGTGACCATTCAATATAATGACGCTGAGTATATTTCAATTCTATTACGATCAATCTCCAAAACACTTTCGCTAATTCACTTCGTATTGTGTGTAAAATAGACTAGGCTAAAAATAGCCCTCCAATGAAATAGACATTTTCAGGGCAGTTACTCATAAGAGGTATGGTGACGTCCCTTCCTAAACGAAGATATGGTAGCGAATGGGTCCAGGATATTGATCATGACCGAATTGAGATATATCACACTGGGTTATAGAGGATGGGTTGACATGGACGTGTCGACTGCTTTGAGCGCTTCTTGCTCCCCACGTATGTCGTCTATTGGTATATCCGTTGGTACATCTTCCGGAATGAATGCGTTCACCAATTTCTGGGTGGAGGGAAGAAATAAACAATACATTGTGCACTTTTTATTATTTAAACGTGAACTTTATATTAATTATAATTTGTTTCCATTGAATGTCGACGCCTGGGAATAACCAGTCTCGATTATCTGCCGACCTGTATTCTATTATGCGTAAAAGGTAAACTATTGGTGAAATTACCTGAATATTAATGAATCATTGAACATCAAATATTACATCAGGTGTTCGCGAAAAGAGCAGCATGTCCTGCTTATGTGTCTTGGGATGTAATAGGGTACTGTATGTTTTTATATAGGTTTGTAGGACTGAGGTTAATTTGTGTCAATCTCATTTGTACCTGGAGATTAAGATTAAGATATAAGATTATGTCTTATCTTATGAAAACATCATAACCCACTCCCACATATATAGTCACTCACTCACTCACTTAGGACTCAGCTTCAGTTACCTGTTTAAATGTGTCCCCTTCCGACTTCCATACACAGTACACCATCCAGCAAGGCGTAGGTGCAATCATGAAGAGAGATATAAGCCAGCCAATCACAGTAGCCCATTCAGGGTAGAAGTAGTCACCGTATTTTGGAGGACGGTACTCGTAGAAGGCGTACAGAAATATAGTCTGGAAATAGTGAATAGTACAACTGTGGCATATGAACATGAAATCATTGTGATCGTACCTTGAGCGAAGAATACAAGTATTTGGAATGAAAATGATACTTAAAAACAGCCACTCCAATGTGACCGGGATCTAGTAGGAAAACACTATGGGACAGCTCTGTTTAGCGACTAGTCAATATCATATTCGTAGGGAGCAACACAAAGATAGGGTTACCGCAACATTCACCTAACGTACTCAAATAATCACTTTGCTCTCCTGGCCCTGAGCATGATTTGGAATACTGCTATTCACCCATTCCTTGTAATAATAACGACCACAATAACCATTATCACAACAACAACAATAATTATAATATCATCTGAAACGTGGCACGGTAGAAGAAGGAGCATCAGTCAGTCTACTTGGGGAGGAGTTATTGACCATCTCATGGATGGCCAGGCCCACACGTACATGGGAATGCAAACTCCAGAATGCCATATCAAGTACAAATGACAAGGACAGAGGACAAATGTAGACTTTAGAAAATCTGGAACCGCTCGAAATACAGTCTAATTCAAAAATAGTTATGCTGTACCCGTCCTTTCGTATTCTTTTGGTGTTGATTGGACGAAACAAACAATTCAGGATATTGACACTCTCACACGAAGAATCATGGCGGACAATAGATCCCACCACCCTCGTTCTTCCCTAAATCGCTTATACTCGGCTTGATTAATGTGGAGCCTCTTTGTGATATAATATTGAGCACTTTTGCACATATGTATTTGTCTTGTGATCCTCTAATGAAGACATTCCACAGTTTTCTTAAACGAGCCAAGGATCTGGGACATTATCTCAATGTCGGACATAAACGGCCATCATCTCAATGACCCAGAATATGTAGAGGGCGTCGTCGAAAATTCTTTGGAATAGGCCCGTATACAGCCTCAGACGTATCCAGGCAAACAAACCTGATCTTGCCCTTTTTGATAAATCCAATGAAATCATTTATATCATTGAATTTTCTGTCCCTTTTGACACCAACGTGGTTGACAAGATTGAGGAAAAACATGGAAAATATGCGGACCTCGCTTTCGAAATGTCACGCTTGCATCCCAAGTACCAAGTTTTCCGACTCCCCATTGTTCTCGGTGACTTTGGTTTGGTACCTCCCAATCTGTTGACTGACACAGGGAGAGTCCCATTCGCTGTCTGGGCTGTAGAGGGGGAAAGGGTCCTGAGCTGATAATAGTTGCGCCCCCAAAGTGTTGCAGAATTAGGTGATGAAACGTTCAAATCCCACATTCGCTCCAAAAGTGATTCTTGATTTGTCATGATTATTGCCGTGCTCGTGTGATCACTTCGACCTTTCCAGCCACAATACCGTGAGACCAACTGACAAACTGGAAGCGACGTCACTCACTCACTCACTCACTAAACATTAAACATGGATGAACGTCCTACCGTGAGAAGCCCAGGTGTGATGTATTTCATGAGGAACGCCAGCCACTTTGGAATGGTCTGTCCATACATCTCCAACGTACACTTGTCCAGTCTCCTCACACCTGTAATGTACACGTCCTCGTCATACACAGATGCTTTCACAGGACATGAATTGTTTTCTTTTTGTGCTATTGTCAGAAATTTGAAGGTTCTCACTGAGTTTCTGGGTTGGAATAGGTATCTAGCAATCTTTGCTTGTGATCAGACTGGGTTTGTTCCTTTGTTTGATGTTTAACGCCGCACTCAGCAATATTTCAGCTACGTCACGGCAGTCTGTATGCATTTGGGTCTATCAGATTTGGTGACTTGGTTGAACCAGACTCGATTATTTAAAGCTGTGTGCCTGACCACCAGATCCATTTATTCCCCTCTTACGCCAAGCACAGGCTGCCGGAGACCAAGGGACTCCATGGGGGTGTCAAGAATTTCGAACGTCAAGAGGTGCGTGAGTGCCTGCGTGTATGTGTTATGTTTGTTGTTTAGTGCGGCACTGTAGATAATCGAGCCTGGACCAGACAATCCAGTGATTGATATCATGAGCATCGATCTTCGCAATTGGGAACGCTGATATCCAATCCACCAAGTCACCGATCCGGACTACCCTATCCATTTAGTCGCCTCATACGAGAAACACTTATCGCCGGGAATACCCATGCTACGACGAATATATTTACCAAACACCCAGGCCAGCACTAGACACTCCACCACCCCAAACAGCATCACGGGGGGCACCGATGAGTACCAGTCTACGAGGGTCAGGGCGTAGATACCACCCTACAGCGACAGCATGTGAACAAGAGACGTGCTTTAAAACCAATGGAAATACGTATGGTGAAAGAAATACAGGGTTCCATGTGAACACCAAGATCTGAGAAGAAGCCACAAACATACCATGATTTATAATGATATTATTCAAAGAATATTATTCAGATTGCTAATTTAACTATGAGAATGAACCTTCTGTTATATGATTAAGAAAATCCTATAAATTGAGTTTATTTAATATTGTTGACGGCATACACATGATCTCATATTTAACTATCCAAAACAATCCACTTTAACACATATTTGAATTGTTTGGGTCTCCATTCGACTCTTACAAATTATGGACTCATTCTGGTATGCAACATTGTATTTATCAACATTTTGTGGACACTTTCTCCGTATACCGGCATCTCTTCTACAGAGTGAGTATATCGGTTAAACGGGTCATTTATCAATATTCAAGCAACATCACGACGTGAGACACCAATATTAGGCTTCAAATAAGTTGGGAATTGAACTCGGCTCTTCGGCGCGACAAGGGAAAGCATTTACCACGAGGCTAACCCATAACCCGTTTTATGAAGAGAAGTTCTTGTGACACAAGCTCGTCATGAAGTAAATTCGATATGCGTGCCACAATAGTTGACAGCCTGTCCTATGAAAATCGGGATGCAAATACGCCACTGTTGGTTACCGCCGCAAACACTTGCAAAGTCAAGTCAAGTGTCAACCTGAAAACACTCGAACATATGGTACACGCTAAAATAAAGAATTCCATCAAACATAATTTTTGTTACAGATGTGTCAAATTTAGATGTTCGCTGCTTTTTTACAGAAGGCCAACCAACGGGTGGAATACCTAAAGTAGCACGCGACCAAAATAGGTCACAGTGAAATTCTCCTTCTGCTCACCGTCCAACTCCGTGGTGTAGTGGATAGACCGCCTGCCCGCAAGGTCTTTGGGTCGATCCCCGCTCGCGTCATACCAAAAGATGCCCAACGTCGGTACTTGTTACCCTGCCTGCCGTTCGGCATTAAGGGTTAGAATAAGGACAGGAAGGATCTGAGTCAGTATACTTTGTCTGAGTAGGGTATCCATGTTAAACTGCGGCATGGTGTCTCAGTGGGCGAGCTCGGCATTAGTGCGGACTGGTACAAGCAGCCATAACCACACACGCGCGCACGCAGGTCGCTATATAAGTGCAATAATACTGAACGCGACTTTAAAACTATTTCACTTCCCCCCAACTTCCTGCTCATGACGCCAGTGTAACAACTATCAATTTGTAGAAATACATAAGACGCTAAAAATAGACGATAATGTTATTCCACGCTCTTGGATGAAGCGGTGCCTGGCGATCCCTGATCCCTAGACGTTATTTCGTCCTACCTGAGTAGTATAGGGAAGAGCCAGAAGGAAGCAAGGAAGAAACACGATCAGGAGGAGAAGCCACCGCCGCTTGGCCAGTGAAGGGAACTGGTCAGCTAGTGTCTCCTGTGTTATCTCTAAACTCGGTACCTGCAACGAAGGGTTCGTTTTGAATTGTAATTGAATTTATACGTGAACAAGTAACAGGGTATATATCATTACACGCATGTCCATCATCACAATTGGAATCATTTTTTACTTATTGATGCAAAGCATACCACGTTCTTAGTTCATAATTTCTTCTCGTCGATATATGGATGAAACCATTCGTTAAGACCCGGCTTCGAAATGGTCTTCAGGAACCCATGCTTGTCGTAAGAGACAACTAACGGGATCGTGAGGTCAGGCTCGCTGACAAGGTTCATGCATATCATCGTATCCCAATTGCGTAGAACGATGCTCATGATGCCAATCACTGGAATGTCTGGTTCAGACTCGAGTATTTACAGACCGCCGTCATATAGCTTAAATATTATTGCCGAGTGCGACGCTAAAGAATAAATAAACAAGTATGGCTGAGCACTGATTTTGGGACGCATTTTCACTCACTTACGCTGACACTTACGGCACGCATGGGTTGCTGAGGACCAATTGTAACCATGAATCCCTATAGTCTTGTATGATTGCAATAAACTAGCTTCATATACCGTTGTATCAAGGCCTAACGTCATCATCATCAGGAAGACCAACACCGACCATAACTGGGGCACGGGGAGATAACTCACTGCTTCCGGTAACACCGAGAACGCCAGATTAAGACCTGCAGGCAGGAGTGAATTGGTTGCATACGCATATGTGTATGCATCGTACACTGAAGTTATACATTATATAGAGAAAGACATTTATCATCAAAAACTGGCCTGAACAGTTAATCTCTCTGTCACAGAAGCTGGTTAGCTGTACATTTTACACCTAAGACCCTGTTTATTACTGTTTACAAACTGATAAAGAAGAATGATGTTGGATGCTAAATAGAATCTCACCCAAGTGTCTTTTGATATTAAATATATCAACGCTAGGCGATGCAAGTTTAACACTCCTCAGCAAGCCTCGATTTTGATATATTTAATATCAAAAGACACGAGGATGAGATTCTCTATGCATATATGTCCTACATTAATAACAATCAAACAAATCCAACAAACGTATTTGTATAACAACATACAATGTACTTATGTACATGAAGATGCCCAAAGTGAGATGCCCAGAGTTTAACTTTCCAGATTATGGCACGTATATTACGATGTGCATGTGCAGTTCACTGTTATTATTCGTTAATCTGGTGTACCTGATGACTGGAAGTCGTCCATGTTAACCCCGGTCACGTAAGCCATGTGCCCCAACACCGTGAAGATAGACAGTCCACAGAAGATGGTGATCAGAGGGTCCACGATGCATAGAATCAGCGCAACTCTGGGAATTAGCAATACTCAATGACCACTTCTGTGTGTTATGACTTAAGTGAGCCGTGCACATTATAAATCATTGGGCAGTGAGCTTTCTCAGTAAGTAAGCAAAGCAAATGTAAAATGAAGATTTAAGGAGAGATTTTAAAAATCTTAGCTTATAATAATTGGTTATTATTTCTCTGTCTGATATCATCCTTGTTTCAAGGAAACGTTTTAGCAATTTAAAAGTGCTTCCTTCGACATTTCTGTCAATGTGTTTATTATTTGCTGTTAATCTTGAAACAAGGAAAACATCCATTTGCACACATGTTATATGCCTCTAAGATCGTAACATAAATATCGTTACCATTATGGTATAATGGAACAAAAATGTGTTGATATGAACTTATCCGCCAAACATAGGGGATGCAACCTCTCAGATCGTGATTCAAACTTATATCACCATTATGGTATAAGTCGGGGAACACATGTGTTAATATGAACTTACCAGCCAAACATAGGGGATGTATGCAACCTCTCAGAACGTGCACAATTATGTCAGTATTTTTCTGTAAAACTGTAGAACACGTGTATTAAAATGAATGGACCAGAAAAATATAGGCCATGAAAAGGAGAATCCGAACATTTGGTTCAAACACGTTTTTCAGGACATCTCCTGACAAACTAACAATTAATTTTGGTGAGTAAAAACCTTGTATCAATGTTTCCATTATTTTCTGGAACAGATTATTCAAACATACAGGCCACACTGGCATATTAAATATCCAACCTCTTACCTGTAGCAGTTACTGCTTCGCTGATTGTGACTGGAAATTGTGTTGGCGATCCCTGTACTGGTTCCCATCGAGTGAAGGGCATAGCCACATGCTTCGATCCATATCTACAACACATCAAGATCACAGATCATCGTAGTACCATGTCCTCCGTAATGCCATTATTGGTATATGAGTCATTTCAATGTCTGAAGTTTAACCCGCATTCTAATACCATACAATTATACTCTCAGAGAACAGAGGTTTTGTAAAACATGTAACATGGGCTATCTGGAGGACCAATATCACTTCTTGTTAATTTGTAATGTATGTGGTAACCTTCGCAAGCAGTATATTCCAGAAAAGTTTCATGTCCATCCAACGTTATCTGAGTTTAATATTCTAATGTCAAACCGAGAAAAATCTTTAATTAGAAATACATCCAAGTTTGTACATCGCCGTTTGGCCATACTGTTTTCTGAAGACCCTCAATCGTATCATGGGCCGTCGGCCTACACAAGTACAGAATAAAGAATTATTATTATTGTCATTATAAAATACCACACAACCTTCGGAGGGGGCACAAGTAGAAAGAACATTTTCTCCACACGCAATCATGAATAGTTTATGATGTAGCAGCTGATACGGTGAACTTTGCCATGGCACTCACTTTAGGGCTTTTAAGCTGTCCAAAGTCTGGTCTCATGAGATATAATATTCCATCTGTCGCCCCTGGCAACAAGGAACCCCGTATTAGGAAGACGGCACACACAAGCACGGGGCACATGAAGGTGACGTACACGATCTGGAAATGATATATATTTTTTATTTGCTTGTTTGCGTGTAGTTTAACGGCGCATTTATAAGATTTAGACCAGACTACACAGTAATTAACATCATGAGCATGGAACTGCGCAAGAGGGATGATACATGTAGGTTGCTGGGATGATACACGTAGGTTGCTGAAGACCCATGATAAACCTCTAATGACGTCATCCTATTATTTTCACGGGCCTTCTTTCCGAAGAGTTACCGCTCAGAGGGACTTCATCCGGATTATTCCTCTGTCCCGGGGATAGAGTCCCTCGCTAGAAATATTTTTTGCTGTATCTGTGTGCATTTGAGGGCTTTAAAACTTGCAGGAAACAGAAAATATTCATTTGGCAACAAGAATGAGCAGCTCTTTATATGTTTATTCCTCCCGCGATTCGAGTGTTTCCCCTCACAACTAAAAATATTGACCAAATCAGAAAGCTGCTTTCACACCCCTTCTTTACGGTCTGATGGCCATTTGTGCTCATTTGGATTCAAAGTGGCGAGGCGATGGTTTTCGGTCTGTATTATTTCATAGCAATAAAGAATTGGGAATGTCATGCATTGGAATTGATAGAATACTCACCCTAGACAAGGAAGATAGTAAGGTTTTGTGCAGAATTTCGATTTTATTTAAGAAAGGGCAATGCAAATCGAACGGTGTTGTACGGAGTGTCTGGCCTTGTGTAAAGATATAATCGAATAGTGCATGTCTGACATCTGTGATAGTAATTATTCTGAAATATTGAAGCAACGGCACAAGGGCCTGAGGTTCGTACCTCGTATACCGAGTATATCGGCCTGGGAGCAAATAAATATTTGTTTTGTTCCGTTCTGTTGACTATATGTGCAGAATGATGTAAAATCGAACGACAAAATGTCTTCTCTACATTTCAGTTAAAACTTGCAACCTTCGAATCTGTAGCCCATGGAGTGAACCACAGGGCCCTTAAGAATCTTGTTTTCAAGTGCATGTTTGCCAGCAAGGTTGTTTCAAACCTTTCCTTCGATGACATTAGTGAAGGGATGCGTTAAACTGACCGCGCGACCCACTCACAGTCAGTAGATAATATTTGATTTACAAACATTGTGCGGTGCAAGGCAACACTCGTATTTTCGTATTACATCCTTAGCCTTTTCGCGAACACCTGGTGTCATTACTGATTTTCATATAATTGCCATCGTTGTTTTTGCTTTTACACCTTGTGGAATCTGGTTCGTTGGGGTCTGTTTTTTCTCTGGCGTTTTATATGTACTGACGTATGCCTAAATTCGCACCATATACCTTGCCCGTAACACGAATGCCCTTAAACAGCATGATGTACATGGTGGCATAGGTGAAGAGTAGACATCCAAACAAAGGCCACCGAATGGAGCCCGTGTCTTCAAGTCCACTCGAGATGTCCAGTGCATTATACCTGAAACAGATGTGTTGCTTGTTAACAAGTTCTTGGTATCTTCAAGGATGGACTATCATCTTGGTAAATTTATGTTATCATTGCCTACCTTTCTACGTTCAACCACATCAGGAATACCTCGTGACTATCCAAACTGTTATCTTACCCCGATTAACACGAATCAACGTCCATTGTTTCTCACGTTGGTGGTGGCAGAAATGGAAATAATATCAGTTTATATCTTTAGCTTAAACCATTCCAGGAAAGAGTAGATATCCATAATGATCATTAACTTAAGGCATGTAGAAATAATAAGCATCTTTACAAATCACTGCAATATCGGTTTTAAATAATATTTACTCATTTAAATACTTGCCTCCAGAATTCTTCTGAGGCACTAGCAACATTCGCAGTGGACCCATTCAGGTGACCCCACTGTGTAGTGTTTATAGCACCTTGCAGAGGAACAGTGTCATTCTCTGTGGTGTTCATCCCTCCCTGTCCATGCAGCGTCGACTCCACGCAGCTGGGTGTGTTCCAGGGATTGCCACAGGTCGACCAGGGCAGGGGGTTGAAGAAGGAGTTGAAGAAGTAGTAGAGATACCAGGAGAAGTACATAGACGTGTACATGGCGTAAACCCACGACACCAACACCGTGCCTAGGCCAAGACCTGGTCAAAATACACACATGCATCATGTATTGAATACTATTAAGTTAACATACATTATACGCAATTGTATTGCTTCCATCAACCGTTTAAATTCATTTAAATGTACTTTCCATTTCGAATATATTTCCATGGCCATATAGCATATATAGATAGATGCGACCACTGTTTCGTCAGCACTTATGTTGGGAATATGCCTGCACAAACAGATGTAACTACACCTGCTAGGATGTCGATATTCAGCCCGAAGTCTGCAGCAAATGTCAGTGAAATTTATATTTTTGATCTTGTTATTCCCAATACAATGACTTTGTTGAGGTAACTTGCACTCATAAAACGATATCAGTATAGAGAGTCAGACATTAAATATTGCACCGAATTTCAGAAAATATAGATTTTAAACACAACTCTTATTTAAAACAAAATATTATTTATCCACAAGTTGTCAGTGAAAATTTCCAAAGCATTTGATACAGTTACCGTAATCGACGTAATAAGCGCCCCGCTCTAGTAAGCGCCCACGGTGATATTTGGGATCGGGTTGTCAGGCTCACTGACGTGGTTGATGCATGTCATCGTATCCCAATAGTGTGGATGCTCATGATGTCAATCACAGGACTGTCTTTTCCAGATTAGATTATTTACAGACCATCGTCATATAGCTGGAATATTGACGAGTGCGGCGTTAAGTAATAAACAAACAAAAAAATAGTATGGAATTCTGGATAAATCCCCGACAGATACATATATTGCATTTGTCACCTTTCATGGCTGGACAAAACTTCCACACCTCAACAGGGCCTCTCTGGTAGTATTGCCCAATGACGACCTCCAGAAAGTACAGGGGTACAGCACAAAGTCCCACAAACACCAGGTATGGGATCAAGAATGCTCCTGAAAAGAATAAACCAAAAATTCGTTGAGTCGTTGAGAGTATTTCTGAGAAATATAGTTTTTAACACTGTCCTATTTTGTAAGAGACAAACACTTTAAGGGGACTACACTCTTTTTCATAATATATATTATGAGGCAAAATTATTTTGTCCAGTATTTTGGGTGGACAAATGATTTATTTCAAGACGAAGTATACCAGATATATACTAGTAAATCACATAGTTCGTAAGTATTTGTAAAGAACATTATATTTGCAGTTTCATATATCTATATTCTTTTGTTGCAGACAAACAAACTGGTATATATTTACATAGTCAGTGTAGTACAAAAGTGTACGATTGAATCCTAATATAATGAAATAACTACAGAAAATATTCAGAAAATCTAATTTCATATATATTAGTACGGAAGCGTAGTAGGGCCACGGTGAAAATTGTTTTTGTCTAAGTATCTCCTACGTAGGACTTATTATCTTCTACGTAGGACTTAGTATCTCCTACGTAGGACTTAGTATCTCCTACTTAGGAGATAGGAAGTCATACGTTGGGGATACTAAGTCCTACGTAGGAGATAGTAAGTCCTACGTAGGAGATAATAAGTCTTAGGTAGAAGATGGTAAGTCCTACGTAGGAGATTTCTAAGCCCTACGTAGGAGATAGTAAGTCCTACGTAGGAGATAGTAAGTCCTACGTAGGAGATACTTAGACAAAAACAATTCACCGTGGCCCTACTACGCTTCCGTATATTAGCGATATGATGGTTTAAGGCCACTTTTAGCAATATTCAGTGTGGGCACAATTGCAAATCAGAACCTCTTGAACAAATCCAGGAGTATTGGAAGCGCAAAGATCACATGAGGATCAAACTATAAAATGTCGCGAAAAAAGATGTCTTGAGCCACACTAATAACTACACATATACCATATTAAATTACATTTTATTCAAACATGGCCAAGTAATAGTTACATATAGAGCCATATAAATTTTGCTGCCGTGGTGGAGATATTGAAAATCGGGTTTAAACCTCTTAAATAAATTAGGGTGTCAGTTTTGGTTGAAACAAGCTAATGTTTCAATAGTCAAGAGAGTGATGCTCACAGTTAGAAAAATGAATTTTGAGAGATTTTTTTTTGTTGTTAAACACCGCACTCAGCAAAATTACAGCCCGTGTGCGAAATACGTGTGCGAAAGTAAGTAAGTAAGTAATATTACAGCTATATGACGGCGGTCTGTAGATAATTTAGTCTGGACCAGACAATTCAGTGATTGATGTCATGGGCATTGATCAATTGGGATAGGATGACATGCATCAAACCAAGTCAGCGAGCTCGACCACCCGATACGGTTTGTCGCCTTTTATGACAAGCATAGTCGCCTTCTTCGACAAGCAGGGGTTGCTGAAGACCTAATCTAACCCGGAACAAAGGTCAAATACAGATCAAACTTTTAAATATCGCAAAAAACCGAACAATTTGGTTGTGTCCCAACTGCACATATACAACATTTCATTTCATCTTGTAAGACAATGGTTGAGTGATGGCTTTAGTATCATTACTGAGGTCAAAGCAAGGTAAAAAAAACAAATCTCGCAATATAACGGAACAGATATGTCGGGCCGGACTGACTAGAAAGTAGCACTTAATTTACACTGATCATAACAGCAAAAAAATATGCTTTAAAGTCTGAACAGGTGCCCATATTGGAATCAAACTTCTGTAACAAACTGGGGTGTGATATAATTGTCGTGGACAAATATGTTCAGTTTCGGCTTCATTGGTCCAGTACCTACTGATACTTAGATTCATCCACCTTCTGTGTTTTTGTGTCTTCATATTCATCATAATAACGCTTTTTACAGGAAATACAACCTGCAATGCCACGTGTTACCGAGCTACGTACAAGGTGGTGTTTTACTTGCATACATACCTTGGCGGAAACAAACATAAACAATTACTATTTTTTTACCATTTAATGTTGAGACTAGTTTCCCTTATAGAATATTAAACTTATATTTTGGGGTTGCTTTATCTTCTGCTTAAGGTGGCAATTCAACTCGTGTAGTGGATCATCTGGTTGTGTACCTCCGCCGTTTCTTGCGCAGAGATAAGGAAACTTGAGCAGAGTTCCCTCCCCGACACTGTATCCCAACAAGGTGACGATGCCATCCACTCGATGGCCCCATGTTTCTCTTGTTTCTGGAAATAAGGAACCAGTGGTATAATATACGTCCTAGCTCAGGCGTTAGAGGATATTAGAAGTTAAACACCAAATAGCAATGCCAATCGGAGTTGAGACAAGGCGAGGTGAAATGAGGTTTAACGTCAGGTTCAAGTTATTTTCATGTACATCGCGACGTGGATACCCGTCCTCGCGTTCTGATGATTACTGGAAGGGTTTATCCCCCCAAATGCCGAGCGCCAAAAACAGGATCGAACAAATAATCTTCCACTCTCCCTACAAACTTTCTATAGAATTCACCAAAGAATCAGTATCTTGGATAAGAACAGCCGAATTGTGTAGACCTGGTGTACCTGTTTTCTCAGTGTCCAGTTTCCCTTGCTTTGTCATGGTGGAATAGACGCCTCTATGTTAGGTTAGAAGTTCCACTGAGGAGGATGTACTATATATTGTGTTCACCTGTAAAGTAATCAAACACAAAATGTTTTCAAAATAATAACAATCCAAATATAAATAGCGACAAAACCCTTTCCACATTCGTTGGGCATGTCTGCTAAAACCCGAGCCCAAAGTAAGATTCATACACTATCAATAGCGTGTGTACATGAATCACAATAAAATAGTGATCATAATAAAAGTGTTCGCGAAAAGGTGACCGTATCTTGCCCTACCGGTGCACCCATCACAAATACATGCCAAGGCAAGTCAACTGTTCCTCTTAAAATAAACGAGTATATTTGGTAAAACAAACGTTTAGTTACATAGAAATAAAAACTCATACAGTAAAGTATTTATATTTTTCAACATGGTCATCATACCAAAACTGAAATTGTTGTGTATGTGGCTGAACATGAATTGGTGACAGGATAGTTTTGGTTTGGGGGAAGAATATGTTCGAAAGGATTTATGGATGTGTACATCGTAAATAAAAGCGACAAAACCCTTTCCAAAGCCACAAGAAATCTCTGCTGAAGACAGAGTCCACTGCATGATTCATGAGAAGGTGTTCATGAATAGCTTTCGAATAGTGATGATACCAGGCGCTCACGAAAAGGTGAGCGTATGATGACCCACTGGTGCCACCCTACACAAACACATGATCAGGCAAGTCAATTGTTTACCTGGATAAAAACTTCGGGAACATATTGTACAAGTCAAAATAGGGCATTGCAAAGGACATCATGCACGTGTGTGTTTGTGTGTGTGTGTTTGTGGCTGCTTGGTCTAGTCCGAACTGATGCCGATTTATAGTGCTAGCCCACTGAGATATCATGCCGCAGTGTAAAAGGAATATCCCACTCAAACACAGTATACTGACTCCGAGCCGACCAGTCCTTGTTTTAGCACACTGAGATACAATGCCGGATAACACTATTTACATATTTAACTTTCAGATAATGTAGAAACACGATTTGTTATAATACAGAACGGTAAACAGGGGCACCAAATCACACAACGGGCCATTCTCGGGCAATAATAACATCTAACTGAAAAACTATAGGCATTTCTTATAAATAAGGAAATGGTAGTTTTAGAAACTGAAATGTTAGACATATGCAATTTATCTGTGTTGAGAGATTAGCTAAATTGAAAATAGCATCTTTATATCGGGCTTCACAAAACCAGGGGATGATGTGAGGAGGTGTACTTTCATTTCTTTTGAGGCGACTCAGTTGATAGATAAACTAAAATAATATGAGACATTAATTACCTTTTCTGGCGTTGATAGTGTTAAATAAGATGTGCAGTCTGATTGACACAAACTAAAAATCCTGAGCAGTTCCCGACAATTATTGTACTGACTGCCCAGATACATGTGCAGATTACGTATGCCGCGGACATGTGACAGGAAGCGCGTCTCCTATTATTATGCATGTATACAAACGGAAGTCATCATGTATATTCAAACAGCGGATAATTTCGAATCTCTGTGACTAGAGTGTGGTTGGTGGAATGAATCCGGTAATTCCAAACCAAAATGAGCAATGTTATACACAGTGCGATGGGTTTTCAATATGGTTGCCATGTACGTGCATGGACTAATGTCACGTTTCACTTGAATATCGCTAGGTATGTCGTTAAACAAAAATAAAAAGATAGAAAGACGATACATTACAATCATACTTCGATTGTAACTTGTCTGTCCGATCATGTCTTTCTGTGAATCCATGTAGGGGGTTGTTTCGGCCAAGACAGTAATTTACAAACATCATTAAAAAATGTTCAGTAAACTTGGAGGACATTTCTCTTTCAAATCCATCTCTATGCAGTATTTCTTCATGTGGCACAAAAAATGCAAAGCTTGTCCTATTTAGATAACTGATACTGGATTCTTGGTGAATATTATTACCACTGATTTTTGCAGTGAAGATAAAAACACTAAATACACGTTTATTAGTTAATTTTATCAGTTGTTCTCTTCATTTTAAAAAACATTGCTTTCACATATACAATGTAGCACGAGCCGACTCGTCTGCCATACAGACCTATGTGACAGTTTTCAATCTTGTACTGAATTACTCTGGTGTTACTTAGCGAAGCTTATTGGCGAGGGTGTTATACCTCGTTTTTGTAAATAATCCTATTACCGCTGTTGCTGCTTGGTGAATATTATTACCACTGATATTATATTTTTTACTGCCATTGTAATTCTACTGTCTTTGAATTTTGTATTGCCACTCTATTTTGTACTGCCATTGTATTTGTTTTACAGTAATTCGTATGTATTTGTAAACCTGGTTCATTTCATTACACAATTGTTAATTTATACCATTTGTTGTTGATTGTTGGTTTCACACTGAATTCTTTCATGGGTAACTTATTGTTTCAATTTGGAAGTCGACACGTAACAATCTGGTTATTCTTATCCAACAAAGACAAAGTTTCAGTTTGTCACAAGTCACTAATGAAATGGACCAATCCAGAGCAGAAGATTAACACGAATGCTAAAATATGACTAGGTGGACAGTCAAAGTCGATTTTGAATTTCCCAAATCAAAACAGACTGAGACTGCCAATTCTTATGTGGTCTCAAACGGCCTTCAAGATATGTTGATTCTAAATATACACCAAACATCAGAACTATGGGAACTATAAATTACGGCTTGGAGTAATATATAATTGTCTGATTCAGAAACACGATTTAAAGGGTGCCAACGGTTGTGAAGGATACTTTCACTGTTGCGAGAACACCTGGTGTCATCGCAATTTGATAGTGATTCATAAACACATGATCATGATATTCGTTCAATAGAGTCTGCATTAAGATTTGTCTTTTCATTATGGAAAGTGTTTTTTCTGCTTTTATTGAACATCTCGGTTTTGGCCAGCATGAAATTGAACAAGTACCCATTTTTTAATAGCGTATACCATAACACTTTTTACATATTTAACTTTCAGATTATGTAGAAACACGATTTGTTAATATTTAACATACAGAACGGTAAACAGGGTCACCAACACACAATGGATGTCAAATTCGCGCCATTGTCGGGCAATAATAGCATATAATTGAAAAACTACACACACATTTTTCAAAGACATGCTTAAAATATGTTTTCAATCGTAAAAGTGTCTTACAAAATGAAATGAATAAGATATCTATTTCAGTTTGTTTAGAGATAATTGGGAGTCTAAAAAAAGTACATAGATGTAAAAATAGGTAGTGGAGAGGACATCTTACAACTTTTCGCCGCAGTCATGAAAAATGTGCAAGTAGTGAAAAGGGTTTCACAGGTAGTGCAGGATACGTTCGCCTTTTGGCGCGCATCTGTTGCAGTCACAAAAGGCAATATGAGACATTAATTACCTTTTCTGGCGTTGATAGTGATGAATAAGATTTGCAGTCTGATTGACACAAACTAAAAATCCTGAACAGGTCCCGACAATTATTGTGCTGACTGCCCAGATACATGTGCAGATTACGTATGCCGAGGACATGTGACAGGAAGCGCGTCACCTATTATTATGCATGTATACAAACGGAAGTCATCATGTATATTCAAACAGCAGATAATTTCGAATCTCCGTGACTAGAGTGTGGTTGGTGGAATGAATCCGGTAATTCCAAACCAAAATGAGCAATGTTATACACAGTGCGATGAGTTTTCAATATGGTTGCCATGTACGTGCATGGACTAATGTCACGTTTCACTTGAATATCGCTAGGTATGTCGTTAAGCAAAAATAAAAAGATAGAAAGACGATACATTACAATCATACTTCGATTGTGACTTGTCTGTCCGATCATGTCTTTCTGTGAATCCATGTAGGGGGTTGTTTCGGCCAAGACAGTAATTTACAAACATCATTAAAATATGTTCAGTAAACTTGGAGGACATTTCTCTCTCAAATCTATCTCTATGCAGTATTTCTTCACGTGGCACAAAAAATGCAAAGCTTGTCCTATTTAGATAACTGATACTGGATTCATATCTAATTTAACACCTAAAAGAAACTGCACAAAACGTTTTGAAGACCTATCATGTCTTACTAAAAACGTCATAAACGGCACTGAATGTACCTTTTGTGGATTGATATATGTTCGAGGGACACAACAGAAAGTATCGACACCAGTCAGCCAGCATAAATCGGGCATCAACAGAAATGTTTCCAATTGTGTCTACCAACATGTCCTGTTTCCTTTACACATAGATACTTGAGTGAGTGACTATGGTTTTTCGCCGCGTTTAGCTATATGCCAGCAATATCACGGCGGGGGACACCAGAAATGGTCTTCACACAGTGTACCCATGTCGGGAATCGAACCCGGGTCTTTGGCGTGACGAGCGAACGCTTTAAGCACTAGGCTACCCGACCGCCCCCATAGATACTTGAAGTACTTCTCATTGTTCTATTTATGTCATCTAATATATATCAGTTATACATTAACGGCTGTTACCGTGCTAAAGTCAACCTCTTATTTAGCCTTATATTGGTCATTGTATCAATTTTTTATCAAAAATATTAAGAGCAGCAAATTTAAAATATTTAAACATCCAAACACAAGGCTGATATCGAGCACTGTTCCAAACGTGATGGATCGTAAGACTGCATCGTGATCACTTCAGAAATACAATTTCTTGCAGGTGTTTTTACTACTAGTAAGTCTAGTCCTTACTCGCCGGTGGAGAGTAGACAATATCGCTGATGCAGATATCATGATTTTGAATGTTTTTACTAAAGACAAGCACACGTCATTATTTTTGCAGTGAAGATTAAAAACACTAAATACACGTTTATTAGTAAATTTTAACAGTTGTTCTCTTCATTTTAAAAAAACATTGCTTTCACATATACAATGTACATGTAGCACGAGCCGACTCGTCTGTCATACAGACGTATGTGACAGTTTTCAATCTTGTACTGAATTACTCTTGTGTTACTTAGCGAAGCTTATTGGCGAGGGTGTTATACCTCGGTTTTTTAAAATAATCCTATTACCACTGTTGCTGCTTGGT